GACACAACAGAGCTGCCAAAACATTTGGGAGAAGCCAGGAATCCTGTATTTGTCTCCGTGGTCAGCTGCAAATGAGCTTTAGAGAAATCAGTGTAACAGGTGACTCTTCCCAGGTCATGTGCTGATTTTGCAAAGCCTCAGGACTGAGGTTTGCCTTGTCCAAATTCTGCTTTAACTTGGCTCAGCTCTAACACCAATTCTTTCTTCTGAGCAGGTGCTTCTAACTGATTTATTTTCACTTACCATTGCTTTATACAGTCATGGTTGTCCAGACTGTCCTCTGTGCAGAAAAGGTATTTGGCCATAAAAAACTGCTGCTGTTGTATTTAAAATACAAGCCTGATGTGACAGCAGAGACCTTGAGAAAGGCACACAAAGGCTGTTGTGCAGGGCACAGCCACAGGTTGGTAAGAGATGGGGCAGAGAAAGGCCCTGAGGACTCCACAAGCACAAACAAATCACAAGGGATCAAATAAATACAGACCTGAATGTGAAACCCATTGAGGAGAGCAAGAATGCAATAGATGCAAAAATTCATGAGAGATGTCACTGCTCTGAAACAGGTGAAATTTACTGGTTTTCACAATTTTGCAAAGACAGAAATTTTCCACAGGCTTTGCACCTTCCCTTGGATGGGAAAGTTCTCTTCCAACCCCACACTCAGGAGAACACCAGTGCTACCTGCAGGAACATCTGTGCTCAGTGCAAGACCCTCTGGAACTCACACCAAGAACTGCTCTGGTTTGTCTCCTGTGGGCCCTTCTCTGAGGTTCAGCTTTAAAAAGCACATTCAGCTCCTGATGTGCATGACTGGAAATAAATACTGCTTTCTAAAAAGCAAAGCAGAGCAAGAATATGAAGTTTGACCAGGATACAAAGTTATGATGACATTTTAGTCAAACCTAAGGAAACAAAAAGATATATTTCTTATACAAATCAATCTTTATTTTCAAATGCTGCACTGCATAAAATGTATCTGATTGCAAGCCCTGTGCATGGACACAGCCCCCATTCATCCTCCCCACTCCCATAGCACAATCAGAGCAACTACACATACCATCATTTGCACCAGAAAAAAAAAGCCATTTGCATCCCAATTCTCTTTTCCTTATAAGTGAACAGCGTTCACCTGGAAAGACCATCAGAAAAATACATCTCATTTCTGCATTCAGATGAAAAGAATGGGCTTGCTACAGGGCTGGTCCCATGTGGCAGCAGCTGGTGCTTTCAGTGCTCTTCACCTTCTCAACCTGGATAAAGAAGCACTCTTAAGGCTCCCCTGCCTCTAATAGTGCAGCTGCCTCTCCTAGAAGGCAAAACAGTGCAGAGAAGCCAGAGGGCAGAGCTCCTCTGAGAATGCCATGGCCCCATTCAGCAATGGCTTTGCATCAAGCAATGCTCCTGCAGTGGCTGCTGTCCTTGCCAGACCAGCAATTTTTTTTTTTACCAGCAGTATTTTCCCAGCAACACACATGTTCTTTTCAAGTAAAAAGTGCTTTCCATCCTTTGCTCCCAGTACTGTTTCAGACAAGTCCCAAATTTTATTCTGTACCCAAGATCTTGTTGGAAATTGTATCCATGGGGAAGGCTCTGTAGAGATTTTTGGTAATGGGAATTTGCAGAAACATGGATAACCTTTCTTATTTGGAAGGAGACTTGCTTGATGGGATGTTACACTTGTGTGCTTCTGCTTTAACTCCAGTGTCCAATCACAGCCAAACCCACAGGTGACATTCACAGCAATCTTTGAGGACCTTCTGCTTTAGGATCTGTATTTTCTCATGTGTGCAGCAATAGAAGATGAAATCTCAGTACTCTTCTTACTCTGGCCATAGTAGTCCACAAAGTCACCATCGGGGCCGAGGAGGTACATGATTATTGTGTGATCCACCTGCAGGAGAGCACAGCGTGGTCAGAGAGCACAACAGCACACAGCACCAGCTCAGAGGGGAAATCAGGGATTGGGATCGGGGCAGGCAGTGGGATACAGGGAGATCAGGAGCGGGGCTACAGGGAAATGCAGGATTGGGATTTGGGATCGGGACTGGCATTGGGATACAGGGAAATGCGGGATTGGGATTGGGGATCGGGACTGGCAGCGGAATACAGGGAAATGCGGGATTGGGATCGGGCAGGCAGTGGGATACAGGGAAATGCGGGATTGGGACCGGCAGAGGGATACAGGGAAGTGCAGGATTGGGATTTGGGATCGGGACCGGCAGTGGGATATAGGGAAATGCGGGATTGGGATTTGGGATCGGGCAGGCAGTGGGATACAGGGAAATGCGGGATTGGGATTTGGGATCGGGACCGGCAGTGGGATATAGGGAAATGCGGGATTGGGATTTGGGATCGGGCAGGCAGAGGGATACAGGGAAATGTGGGATTGGGATTTGGGATCGGGACCGGCAGTGGGATATAGGGACATGCGGGCCACGGGCGCCCCCTGCCGGCGCACTGAAGCAGCCTCACCCAGGCACATCCCGGATTTATATCAAAATTGGATTTATATCAAAGTTAACTCCACTGCAAATTTATTTAAATTACACTGAAAGTGCTCTCTGCACCTAATCGTGACAACATCCTTCTCAGCAAAGACACAGAGTTCTGGTGCTGGAAGCCATGATTGCTCAGGACTGAAATAGTCATGCTCTGAGTTCAGCTGCATTAGAAATGAGAAATCACAGCAACTTTGGAGCACATAGGAAAAGAGGCAGTCAAATGTTACAGATCAGAAAGAAATCCAACCATTGCCAGGCTTGTTAGTCCCTGTGCTACTGTCTGCATTTCTGGGCTTGTTTAGAACACACTTTGGTAAGGTGCTGAGCTTGTAGGAGGGCATTGTGTTTCTGACAGGTGAACATATCACTGCACATGGAACTTCAGTAAAGATCCAACAGCTGGTTTTAAAATGCACATGCTGCTCTTATCCACAGTGTTTCAGCAAGCAAAGGCTGCTTTTACTCACTATGTAATCGTTGTCCTCATCCTTGGGCCCTTCGCTGTAGTATACACGGTATGCTTTAGCCACTTGGTCAATCTGGGCCTTGCTACCAGTCAATCCCACCAGCTTGGGAGAAAATTCTAGATGGAAAGAAGACATTTACACATTTTGGTGAAAATAATCCCTTCAAGAGACTCCTTTTTAGTGCTCTGCACTACATGCTATGAGACACAGAGGAAGAAAGCAGGAATACCTTTGACATATCTGGCAATGGCTTCTTGGTTGTCCCTCTCAGGATCGATGGTGATGAAGAGTGGGGTCAGATTAGGCAAAGATGGAATTCGATCTGTGATGTTAACAGTTATTATTTATTTTAGAAAACTAAGTATCATCTCTCATCTTCCTTCAAACAAGCTCATAGCCATGTAACATCAATCCAAGCCCACCCCAATGACTAAAACATTTTGTGCAGTTTTATTTATGTAATTTGTGAAGGAAGCAAGTGCCATGAGATGCAATGCTCTGTGTCTGTGCTTCCAGACCCTGAACTCCCTTACCAATTTCATCTACCACTGCAATCATTTTCTCCAGCTCATCAGGGCAGATGTCAGGGCAGTGAGTGAAGCCAAAGTAGATCAGCACCCACTGGCCAATGTAGTCCTTGCTGGTCCTGGGCTGTCCCTCGTGGCTGACGAGGGAGAAGGGCCCTCCCAGCAGTGGCTTCCCAATGCCTCGGTTTCGTTCCTTTTCCAGTTCTACAAAACACAAGTGGGAATCAAACACAGCCACGCCACAAGGCACAATGCTTCCCGGGCAAGCTGAGTCAGACACTGCTCAGGGTCATGTCAAGATCCACCAATGCCTGTCATGCACTAACACCCAACATGCACGTGCCTTCCAGAAAGCGTTCCTTTTGGACAAAATCAAATCTATCACTAAATTCCTTTGAAACAATATATTATCTTTCATTGTTACCCAACTGCATTTTTGTTTAAAAAGGGAAAAAATAAAGACAAGATACCTGGCCTGCTGTGAAACAGCAAAACCAGCATCCATTGAAAACTGAACAATACCCTAAAAGTTGCAATATCTCTGTTTTCAACTGTAAATGCATAAAAAGGGAATGTGTGGGCAGTTGCTGCAAGAGAGGGCAAAGCTCATGGGCGAGCCCACAACACCCAGCTCCGTGTCTGCGCTGCGCAGGCTGGCACAGTGTGCAGCCAAACACAACTATTCCAACCTAGGAGCTTTAAAATGACGAACCTTGAATCGCTTTTAATTTTTGAAATTTTTCTGCAGTACTTCCATAAACACAGACAGGCCAAACACAACTATTCCATCCTAGGAATTTTAAAACGCTGAACTTTAATCGCTTTTAATTTTTGAAATTTTTATGCGGCACTTCCGTAAACCCAGGCACAGAGCGGCCATGTGGAAAGCAGTACAGTGACGATGCCCAGGCAGGTAAAATACATCTGAACGCAAAACCAACAAACCCTTCATGTGAACACGAAACGCGCCACCCCTGGTGTAAGAATCCATGCCTGGACGGGCTGATCGTGTCCAATCCGGCTAGCTATGGACCCCAGCCCACAGGATCTACCATGGACAAAAGGGAAACAGAGCAATCCAACACCCCGGCGCTCCTCCCGCACCCCGCACTCACTCTCCTCCTTCTGCCGCTTCATCAGCTTCATGCCGGCCAGCAGCCCCCCGCCCAGCACCACGGTGGCCGCCAGCGACCGCCACGACACGAGCTGCGGGGGACAAGGGTTTGGTGACTGATCGGGGCACGGAGCGGCTCGACCCGACCCGGCCCGCGCTCCCTCCGTCCGTCCTTCCCTCACTCACTCACCCGCTTCTGCGCGCCCGCCCGCGGCCCGCGGCCTGGCGGCAGCTCTGACAGCGGGCGGCTGCGGGGTGCGGGCAGCACCGCCCAGCCCCGCACGGCCGGGCCCGGCAGCGGCCACAGCCCCGCGCCCGCCCGCAGCCGCCACAGCCGCGTCGCCCCCGCCATGTTCCCGCCGGCCGCGCCGCCCCTTCCGGCCCGCCCGAGGCCGCCATGCAGGCTGCGCCGCGCCTCGCCTTCGGGGTCATAGCTGACATCCAGTTCGCCGACGCGGAGGACGGGTACGACTTCTGCGGCTGCCGGCGGCGCTACTACCGGCACAGCCTGCGCTTGCTGCGGGAGGCGGTGTGGGAGTGGGCAGCCGAGAGCCCGCCGATAAACTTCGTGCTGCAACTGGGCGACAGCATCGACGGGCAGAACGCCCGGCGCGGCGAGGCCGAGAGCGCCTTGCAGCAGGTGCTGGACGTGCTGGGGCAGCTCTCGGTGCCCGTGCACCACGCGTGGGGCAACCACGAGCTCTACAACTTCAGCCGGGCGCGGTTGGTGCACACCGGACTGTACAGCCGGCCCGCGGGGGGCTCGGACGGGCCCGCGGACAGGGAGTGCCACGCGTATCACTGCAGCCTGGCCCCGCGGCTCCGCCTCGTCGTGCTCGACAGCTACGACACCAGCACCCTGGGCAGGGACCCCGGCAGCCCCCGCTACCAGGAGTCCCTGCGGGTGCTGCGGGAGAAGAACACCAACGATGATCTCAACAACCCCGAAGGTACCTCCGGCTTGGCAGGGGCGCGGGCGGCCGAAGCTTCGCTGTCCGGAGCTGCCGGTGCTGACAGCGGGATGCCCGGGGCTCACAAGGATGTGCCTCTTTGCTGCCCACTCCCTGCCGTCAGTGCCGGGCCAGGAGATGCTCCCCTGTAGCCTGGTGCTGTGCTCTGTGCCCTGCAGTACCGGTGAGGCGGCTGGTGCAGGGCACCGAGTCGTGCCCACCCTGCCCCACGCCAGGGGGAAACCCAACAGTGGAAACCCTGTTTGGGTACTGTGACCCAAACTCCCAAAACCACTAACGAATAATCTTCTTTTTGCAAGGGTGATGGAGTTCTGATCCAGGGAGTGCAAAAATCCCCAAAGGTTCTGAGAGTAAACCAACCATCAGCAGATTTGCATAAGGCAAATAGAGGAACCAAGGGAGGTGTATGCATTTGTGCCTAACCTTCTTCTTATTCATTGCAGGCCTCAAAGAACCTCATTTTGTAGCATTTAATGGAGGATTTAGCCAAGCCCAGCTGGACTGGTTTGATGAAGTCCTCAAGTTCTCTGATGAAAACCAAGAAAAAGTTATAGTTATGGGTAGGTAGATATGGAGGGGGATAAATAGACAATCAGAAGGGTTTGTGTTGGAAGGGTGGTTAAAGCTAGTCTAGTTCCAATCCCTATATTTGATGGAGGGTGTACAGAGGAAGCTCTCAGCAGCTCCTCTCACTCATTTCTGTGGGTGGTTTCTTCCCTTCTTGCCAAATATCAATTAAAGCCAAACCAGCACAACTCCCATGGAAATACAAGGAAAAAAAGGTTAGCTAGCCTGTGTATGTTAGCTGCAGAAAACATGCAGCTGGTCTGGTGAGGTACAGATGGAACCCATGAAACAGCAGAATAGCAACCACACCTCACTCTGGGGGTGAGTTTTCTGTACTCAGTTATTGTATTTGCGGGGTGTCCCGTTGCAGGAGGAATGAAGGAATCTGACTCCATGTTCTCAGAAGGCTAATTTATTATTTTATGATGTTATATTATATAAAAGAATACTAAACTAAACTATACTAAAGAATGCAGAAAGGATACTTACAGAAGGCTAAAAAGATAATAATGAAAACTCGTGACTCCTTCCAGATTTTTGACACAGCTTCGCCCTGATTGGCCAATAAGTCAAAACAATTCACATGAAACTAACGAAACAACCACCTGTGGGTAAACAATCTCCAAACACATTTCAAAGGAGCAAAACAGAGGAGAAGCAAATGAGATAATTGTTGTTGTAATTTTTCTCTGAGGCTTCTAAGCTTCCCAGGAGAAAATCCTGGGTGAAGGGATTTTTCATAAAATATGAATGCCACACTCAGTGAGATGGCTGAACTTCCCATCAATGAGGCAGATTTATTACAGTTTAACTCTCTTTATTTCTTCCCCTCTGGACTGCAGCTCACGTGCCCATCCATCCCTGTGCTTCCAATGGGGTTTGCCTGGCCTGGAATTACGAGGCTGCCCTGTCAGTGATACACACACACAGGTGTGTGGTCTGTGTGCTCGCAGGGCACCTGCATGATGGCGCCTACTGCCAGGACCTGCACGGAGTTCATCACCTCACCCTGGAGGGGCTCATCGAGACCCCCCCCGACAGCAACGCCTTTGCAACTGTTCATGTCTATGAAGATAAAATGGTGCTGAAGGGAAGGGGCAGAATTCCCGACAGACTTATGCACTTCTGAAATACCAGGCAAAGACACTGTTCTTCTGCAGGAAGGACTTGGATGAAAACGGAGGAGATTCAGCTGTTTGCTTTTAGAAAGCCCTGCATGGCTGATCCTTATTGCTTTAGCTCAGGCGTTCTTCTCTTGGATACAGAATTTTAGAAACTGTATTTCTGTAAGAGAGCACCTGACTTCTTTTTGGAGAATAGAGAAGGACAGTAATTTAAATTAATATACTGGAATGCAGAATGTTGAATTCCAACACCCAATCCAGACTGGACTGCTACTGTGAAAAGATGCAAACCATATAACAAATATTGCTCAAAAAAAGCCCTAGTGCTGTTCTCTCAGTGAGCATTAAAGCATGCAGAGTTGTACCTGCCCATCCACATCTCTATTTATTTATTTTCTGTGAACATTACAGTGAGGTCTCATGTCTGGCAGAATATATCCAGCCTGTAGCCTAATTCAGTCTTCCAAGTTTGCTTTAAAAGACTAAAGTAATCCTCAGAGAAAGCTGAGACCATCTGTGCTGCACCATGGAACGCTGCAGATGCTCAGGCTGTGCTGTGTGTGCACAGCTGGGATCACCTGCAGCAGTGCTGAGAGTGAGCTCTGACACCCATCTAAATAAAAGTGTTGTGTGTTACACCTGGAGCTGTCCTGGCTCTGTCCCAGCCAGATCCTGAGTCCATTTTATCCACCTGTGCTTCCTTCTCCAGGATGAACAGTGGGACGTGGTTGCTGCTGCAGGGCTAATGTGTGGGTCCTGCTTTCCAAGAAAAATTAGCTGAGCAGCAGAATTAATTGGAACAGTGCCCACATCTGCTGTGACAGGCTTGAATATGCATCTCCCAGAAAATAAATGATATGGAGGCTTTCATTGAGTTTTCTTATAAAAAATAGTTTTTATTACTCAGTAAAACTAGTGACTTTCAGTTAAAGATAATAGCAAAAATAATTTTTTCAGATATATTCTACATATGATTTTAGCACAGGACAAAATACAGACTGCTCAATTTTCCAATAAGTCTGAAATGGATTATCCAGGCACATTTTTGAAAGTTTTATGGCTGTAAATAGTCATTTATTAAAATACTATTTGCTTTATTTGTCCCTTATGTTACAGAATAGTTCTCAAAATATGAGGTGATTGGAGAGTGATCTAGAGATACAGAGATATCCTGAATATACCATCAGAACAGACATTAGATCAATGGTGTTTGGAAAATGTAAGAAGCAGCAAGGTGAATTCGTTTCCATAGAAGAATTCCCCACTCAGATTTGACAGTGTTCCTCAACATTTTACCAAATCTCAGCTGGCACTGCTGGAAGCAGCCAGACATTCTTGGGTGCTATCAAACTGACACCCACCTTTCATTAAGCACCAAAGCCAAAGGCAAATAAGGTCAGTACAGTCACTGCAGACTTTCTCCCATCCCATTAAATCACAGTTTTGCAGTGTGTTGGCCAAGACTCTCGCACGTCTTTGTTCACATAAACGTACAGCCACGAAACAAAGGGGAACAGGGCAACAACAACTGCAGCAACCAAACGAGCTCCTCCCAGGGGACTCCTGTAACAGAACAAATCCAACAGAGCTGCTTCAAATCACTGAATCTTTGAGGCTGGAAAAGACCTCCATGATCATCAGGTCCAACTTTGCATACCACCACACCCACCAAACTCTACAGGGCAGTGCCACATCCAGTGATTTTTTGTGAACACTTCCAAGGAATGGTGACTCCACCACCTCCCTGGGCAGCCTGTGCCAATGTCTGACCTCTCTTTCAGTGAAGGAATTTTCCCTAGGATCTAATCTCAGCCTCCCCTGGCACAGCTTGAGGCTGTTTCAACTGGTCCTGTCACTGTTCCCTGGAAGCAGAGCCTCACCCCTACCAGGCTGCACCCTCCTGTCAGGGAGCTTTAGAGTGAAAAGATCCCCTCTGAGCTTCCTTTTCTGCAGACTGAGCCACCCCAGCTCCCTTGGTGACTCCTGGTGTTCCAGACCCTTCCCCAACTCTGTTCCCTTCACTTCCAGTCCCTCAAAGTCCTTTTTGAAGTGAGGTGGTCAAACCAGACCCCAGGACTGGAGGTGTCTCAGCAGTGCCAGCACAGGGGACAAGCACTGACCACAGGGGTCATGCTGACCACACCATGATGGGACAGCCCAGGATGTCCCTGCCCACTGCTACAGCCACCACATAACACTCACATCTGCCTGCAGCTGGGAAGAGCAGAGAGCCTTTGCCAATTTAATGGGGCTCCTATGGATGTGTTACCAGTCTTTCACTGCAGAAGCACAAAGAATTTCCTGACAATGCAGGCTACAGAAACTTGTTGGAATTTAAAAATGTACCTGAAGCAAAGGGAAAATGCCCCTATTATGGCGGGGGGACAGAAAAAGTGCTTCATGTAGACTTACATTCCCCCCTGCCCCAAATTTATCTGTGCAAGATCCTCCAGGCTGCTACTGCTTGGGCATCTGGAAGGTTCAGAGGGTGACATGAAACAGCAAAAGAAGCTGCCAAAATCAGCTGTGTGTTTTCAAGGAGCTAGTCACTAAATGTGAACATTGGAATGCATTATAAAAAAAGAGAAAATAAAACTTACTTTGCTGAACTGCGACAAAGACTCATCCATATTGTAATAATCACCAGACCAAACAATTCTCTAAAAAGCCAAACAAAAAACAGATCAGAAAATAATACAAACAGATGTTTATGTTCTTACAATACAAATTTTGCCTCCAAAACAGTAGTGGCTGCTCCTTTGGAGTAGTTCAACATATTTTACTAGAATTATAAAGGTATTTACAGAGTAACTTTGCTTCACACCACAAATCTACAAATTGACATGACAGCTTAACAGCTGCAGAAATTCCTGCCCCCACGTTTTGTTCTACTGCTGGATTTATATTCCACAGCACATTTCTCTAATTAACACAGGCAAAGCAGGCACATTTCTCTCATTGAAACAGAGCAAAGCAACATGCCAGTTTTCCACTCTGTGATTAGGTACAGAAGTAGCTGCCAGGGCTTCACTTCAGTACTTTACAAGCACCTACTTTTTACACACCTGTATGTCCAGGTGAGAAATTCTCCCTTGTCCTCAATCCCTTGGAGGACTCAGCAGCCCATGCCAGATAAACATGAATTTGGTATCACCTCAAGAGTTTTTAAAACATTGATTACCACTCCTTCAGCTCCAGGAAAAGAGCACAAAGCTGTTTCACTGTGCTTGTGCCCTGGTGTTTGAAAGCCAGACAAGTAAATCAAACTGCCACAATCAGGGAGGCAACGTTCCCTTCCCTGTGCCCAAGCAGTCACTGGTTTGGAGCATTATGGTCCCTCCTCTTTGATCTGATTCCTCTAGACCAACAGCTCGCACTATAACAGCCCAGGAAATAAAGTTTTGGAAGGTGACACCAGGAGGAGATGGCCTGATGAGCTGGATTTGGGCAGGGGCACATAAAACGCACTGCTTACCTGCCTTCCTCTTCATGAAAAATGTTTCCTTGAGCATAAGCAAACAAAGAGCAAGCCAAGGCAATGGTCCCAACAACACAGCCAGCAGAATGAAGGTCACAGAGGTTCCTCCAAACACTGTTGTCTGGGGAAAAAAAAACCAAGACTGTCAGCCACAATCATGAAGAATGAAGTAAACCCATCTGGGTCTTCCACAGACATGAATGGCAAATACCCCTTGGTGAATTTACATAAACCTGCAGTTTTACAGAAGTTGTGCTATTATAATCTTTATTTTCAACAGATCTGGGCACAAGGAAATCCTTAATATACAGATTCTATTGACCAGCCAAAACCTCCCCAGCAATATTCAAGCCTCATGAGTTCTGAACTTAGGAATGCTGCTACTTTATGTGCTTAAGGTGGCCAGAATGCCAAGAGACTGCAATGGTGTAATTTGTGGAATACCATGCACTCCTGAAGGTTTTCTTTTTTAAGTGTGATTTTAGTTTATTCCGCATAAGTATTCATCCAGAACAGATGCAGTCACTTTATATAAATATATTTTATGTATATAAAGTGGCTTTTTAAAAATTATTTCCACTGAATTAAAATACAAAAATCTTAAAAACAAAAATCTTAACTATGTTCTGAAGACTTGAAACAAATCTGATCTGAACGATCCTCTGAACTGCTCTTGGCCCCACAACACACACCCTTGGAAACACAGCCTTTGAATGTTCCTGCCCATGGCCCTGTGGGGCAGCTGCAATACCTAGCAATGAACAAGACCTTTAGCACTTTCATGGGACTGTGCAAAGCTCAGCTGCTTTTGCACGAGGTAGATAAACAAAAACAGGTCAGCACAGAGCCAGGTTCACAGCATGCTCCCAGGTGTTCTAGAAGGCTTTAAGCTGGAATTGGGGTGCAAAGGCAGGCCCACCCCAGCAGCTGGGCTTTCTGCTGGGCTCCTCTCCTCACTGCAGCATGACCAGCCACCAGCACTAAAGCAACGACCAGCTTCTCTGGAAATAGGTCCTGCAGCTTTTTGCCCTCAGAAGATAGTAGGATGTGTTTCTACACAGACTGATTTTAATCTGTGGCTCAATTTAAAAAGAAAAAAAAGCAAAACTACAACCTTTTGAGGGCAAAATACGAGCAGAGACTGTTTTGCACACCAGTATCATACCTGTTATTGAAGGGTTGATGCTGACAAGCAGTGTCAGGGCAGCTGGCACTAAGTAGACAACCTGTTAATGACATAAATCTACTCGGTATTAAAACTTAGCAAGCTCAGGAAACAGAAGTGCCCAGCCACAGCAGCACTTTTCCCCTTTGAAGTTTGTCAGAGGCACAGAGCAGATCACAGTCCCTTGCCCTCCAGCATGCCCTGGCACTGCTGGTGCTCATCTTCACCATCACCACTCAAAATCCCGGGCCATCAGCCCACAGCAGCCCTTGTTCCTCTGCTCCTGGCTTACAGAATACTGACCAAGCACTGCAGAGCCCCTTCCCTGAATCCTGACCCTCCCCAGACCCTCCACCCGCGCTGGGGCGTTTTGTCCCCTTTGGTGCCGCTGTCAGCGGGGCTCACACACCGCAGGGCACACAGGGCAGCCCCTGCTGCTGTCGCACACACAGAACTGTCCCTGTCACCCGCAGTGCCCAGCCCAGGCAATGCTCCGTGCCCGGGGCAGAGCGGGCACCGGAGCGGGCTCGCTCCCAGTCCTCGGACGCTCCCGCTGGAGACCCAAGGCGAGCCCAGGGCCACGGGCACAGCGGGGCAGGAGCAGCGGGAGCGGCTCGGGGTGCTCTGCTCAGCAAGCGATGCTCTGCAGGGCGAGGTGCACATCTGGGGTGAAATAAAGCAGATCCTGGAAGCACGGTGGGATTCACAGCCGTCGCTGCAGTACAGACATCGCTTTCCCGGCTCTGCCCGTTCCTCAGCTGGGAGCAGGGACGTTTCCTCCGGCAGCCCCGGATCGGACGGGCGGTAGCGGAGCGGGGCTGGGACCTCCGGGCAGGAGGTGCCGAAGGGGACGGGAAGGGAAGGGCGGCCCGTACTCACCGTCCACAGCCCCGCGTCGGGGTCGTTCACCTGCAGCGGGAGGCGCGCACTGAGACCCCGCAGCCCCCGGGCCTGGCGGGGCCGCGCTCCGCCGGAGGGGAGCGGAGGGGACGGGAGGGGAGCCCCGGCCTCACCTGCACGGCGGCCGCCAGCCCGAAGAAGGCGGCCATGAGGAGATTGCAGAGCCGCCAGAGCCGCGCCGCCATGGCCGGGGCGGGACAGAGGGGACGGACAGAGGGACGGAGAGAGGGGCGGGACGCGGGCGGGCCACGGCCCTGATCCCGGCCACGGCCACGGCCCCGATCCCGATCCCGGGGCCGATCCCGATCCTCCATCCCGATCCCGATCCCCCATCCCGATCCCGATCCCCCATCCCGATCCCGATCCTCCATCCCGATCCCGATCCCCCATCCCGATCCCGATCCCCCGCCCCGGTCCCCATCCCCGATTCCCGATCCCCGATCCTGCTACTGATCTCGATCTCGATCCCGATCCCGGCCCTGATACCTACCCATCCCCAATTCCCATCCCCATCCCCATCCCGACCCCAGTCCCGATTCCGATCCCGATCCCGGCCCCGACGCCCATCCCCGATCCCCATCAACATCCCCATTCCCATCCCGGCCCTGATCCCCGATTCCCATCCCTATCGCGGCCCTGATCCCCATCAACATCCCCATCCCGATCCCAATCCCTATCCCTATCCCCATCCCCATATCCATCCCGATCCCAATCCCGCTCCCGATCCCGATCCCGGCCCCGATCCCGATCCCGGGCAGCACGGCGATACTTCCTGGGTGGGCAGGCCCTGGCACAGGGTGCCCAGAGCAGCCCGGGCAGTGCCCAAGGCCAGGCTGGATGCAGCTTGGAGCAGCCTGGGACAGTGGGAGGTGTCCCTGCCATGGCAGGAGGCTAAATGAGATGGGTTTTAAAACAGCTTCCAACCCAAACCATTCTGTGATTTTTGTAATGGTTCAGAAATAGTTTTGTGTTTAAGAGATTCAGTCATTTTGTGCAGTCTAGAGAACCAAAAAGGATATTGCTCAGAAGAATAGCATTGTGCCATTGTTTGCTGATTATTTATGATGAAAAGTGATAATAAGTGATGAATTGAAAGTGGGTCCTTTAGAAATGTGATATTTACCAAAACCAAGCCTCTGTGAGATCATGTCTCCCACCAATTTCATACAGTTCCCTCGGCACCCAACAGAATCAGGTCTTGCTGAATTGTTGTGTGGAGGACATGTAAACGTGCTCACATTTGTGGAGAGGATTCATTCTCATCTTATTTTTAACTGAGTCTTTCCTTGAGCAGGTTACAAGAGATGAAATTACTGCATTTAAAGCCACAGAGAAGCAAGAGTAGTCTTTGTGAGAGTCCCTACTCCTCACCTCAAAAAAAGCAGAACTCTAGTAATAAATCACCTTCATGCCTTGTTTCCAGGTCAAAGATAGGCTCTTGAATGTATTTTCTAACAGAGGGGAAGTAATTTCGGGCTAGAAAATGAAAATGTCATGGATTAAAAAGCAACAGTGTTGATAAAAGTGTAAGAAGAATGTAAGAGCATGTCTTTCATTAGCATAATAATTATTAGCATAATATGATAGGAAAATAAAAGCAGCCAAGCTTTTCAGGCACACCAGTTCTTTGTGTGGGAAACAAAATACTGAGTCACTGCCCGTTTTTTCCAACCATACTAGCTGATCTTCAATATGAAAATTAATCTGTGACAAATCTTTGGATCTTTAATTTGTCTGATCACAAGCTATTGTGCAAATTTGCACAGCCCACCTAGTTTCTGTCATGGCTGGGCTGCTCCTTGACATCTCATGGGCTGCACAGTCAGGGGAGGAGAGAGAGCAGATGGGAGAAACTGATGGAGACTGGGAAGGAAGCAGAGGAACGTCTGGGCAGACACATCCAGGGCCCTGTGTGGTGTGGGACAGGACTCTGCTGAGGGGAAGGAAGGGCTGGCCTGGCAGAAAGCAGCTTCTTATGGGCACTTGGGAGGCATGGCATGGAAGGTTTGACAATCCTGTGAGTGGCCAAAGTTCAGTGACACAAGAACAAGGGAAGGCAAAAGGCACCTCTGTCTCTCCTGAGGATATGATTGGAAGGAGGGATTGGTTTAGCAACTGTGGTGTTCTTTATTGCTCTAATTCACAGTGTCACAGAATATTCTGAGCTAGAAGGAACCCATAAGGATCACGGAGTCCAGCTCTTGAGTGGATGGCCCATACAGGGATCACATCCCCAACCTTCATGTTAGCATCATGCTCTGGCCAGTTTAGCTAAATGGGATTCAAAAGCAATCAGGCTGTAACACGTCTTAGAAATAAAAACGTCTTTCAGTGCTGGGTGTGCTTATCGCAAAGAAAAGGTTTAAAGCTTTACCAGCTATCCTGAGCGAGCACTTCCTCCGGCACCCGCTGCAGGATGCAGCAGGCTGTGTCGGCAGGAGGCAATACTGACTTCTCCCATGAGAGGGAGGCCAAGAACCTTCAGTATCCTTGAGTGGAACTCGAGCTACTCGTTCCTCGATATTAGACAAAACATCTTCTCTCTTTATGACTCTCTGGATCTGCTACTCACCCCAGAGCAGTCCGAGTTCGTCTTCACTGAGGCAACTCCACCTGTAAAGAGCAGAGGCAGCAGGGATGGGCCCTGCAGCCAAGCTGTGATATTGAGAGTCAGGATTTTCCCAGGAGCCTCTACCAGAGATTTTACTGCACCATAGCCACAGTCACCCATCACAGTGACCCATTTCATAATGGCCCTCATTCTTGTGTCCTGAATGGTCACAGATTGGCTCAAAGGTGATTAAAAGGCTCTGGGTGGGCAGGTGAAGGGTTCAGGGCCTTTGGTGAGTTCTTGGCTGCAGAACCCTGACTGCAATTCCAATGGGGACATCTGGAGATAAATGCATGGTTGCACAGCTGATATTGCCAAAAGGGCTCTGGGTTTATTTCCTTAACTGGTGGGTCAGGAGCCAGGAGCAGGGAAGGATGGGGCTCACCTTCCTGAGAATGGGAGCAGCCCTGTGTTCCCTGATTAACCAGCTTCAGAGGACACATTTCTGAAGCAAAGGCAAACCCATCCCTGGGATTTTTTTTGCTCAAGGACATGGGTGCACCAGGTGAGTATTGCAGAAGGACAGGGAAACATGATATGTACCTCAAGGAGATTTGATTTCTGGGTGGGAACAGCCTGTAATGTTGAGTTTCATATGTAATATTTGTTGTTGAATGACAATGCCACTGTATGTCATAGCTACCCTGAGCAGTGAGTATGGACTGCTCCAGATACACCAGCCATGGCCTAACTGAACTAAACAGACATCTTGGTGGGGATGGCCAATGACTACTGAAATAACAGCTGTGCTCATGTAGAGTTATATGAATACATATGCATATAACATAGTTGGGAAGTATAAGATATGGGCATGATGTAAATGGTACAGAATAAACTAGGATGATGTCCTGGTTGCAAAGAGAAGGGCACACCAGGAAAAAATGCAGACAGATCACTCTCATGTCCTGGTGTGGCACAATGTTTTAGGAATAAAGTGATAAGTAACAGATGTCACACCTATTGACTTCAGGAAGATTTTTAACATTGGCTGTCCTGACCCCTTCTTAAGAAGATACAAGGGCAGGGTGAGTGTAAAACTGGTGAGATCATTGTACCTCAAGTGCTAATTATCAGTGTTTGTCAAAATGGAAGGACATATTCATAGGATTTTTGCAGGGGCCCGTTCTGATGCCAGATCTTTTTAATTACTTCAGTTAACAGCCTAGATGATTAACACCCATGATCGCCTTATTAAATCTGCTAATTACTCCAGATTGTTGAGGACAGCAAAGACAAAAGGATTCAGATGGAGAAATGGCCTGTATAATCTACAGGGCAATATTCAACAGGTACAACTCCCAGCATTACTTTTATGAGCAGTGAGCAACATAGGTTCAGGTGAGGGAACTGGGTGGATGCAGTTTTCAAAAAAAAAAAACTCCAGCAACACAAAAAACACTCCTGCTCCCCCCAAAAAGAAGAGTCTACAGTGTACTGGAGAGCAAACTGAACACCAGCAATGGGAAAGGCAAACGCCATCCTGGAGCATGTGAGCTGTAGCCTCCAAGGCAAGCTGGCATAGCATGCCTAGCTAGGGATGCTGTACTTCAAAAAATGCACATGGACAGAGGAAAAAAATCCAAGGAGGTCAGTGAGGAAGCTGAGAGGCTCAGGAAACATGGAGAAAGGCTGAAGGAAATGAATTGATGTGTAGAAGAGAAAGCTGAGGCAAGGACAAGAAGGGAAACATTGCAGTTCATCATTGCACATCATCAAGTGCCCAAGGGGTCATTTTGAAGAAGGCTATGGCCATAGTGATTAGGGCGGGATATAAAGGATTTGAAATTTAAAAAAAACCCTGAAGTTAGGCTTTTGGATCATGTTAGGATGTGTGCCAGAACAGATTGCTAGGGAATGGCACAATCCCCATCACTGTAGGTCTTTAAGGAAAGGTTTCACAAACATGTCAGAACAGGTATTGTTGATCCTCCTAGATTTGCAGTGAAGGAAAAGTATGGCATTAGCTAATTGTAAGCAAACACATGTAGGTGGCACGCAGCAGAAGTGGAAGTTGGTGTTTGCCAGGAGGTACTGGGTTTCTGCATCAAAGCCTGCAAGATGCCAGCCCTAAACCTGCCCTCAGGGGTTAATGCAGAACAGAAGGCTTAAGCAAAACAGGGAAGAGAAAGCAAAGATACGGAACTAGGGAAGGGAATGTTTTTCGTGTCAGGACTCAACACAAAGGGTGATGGTTTGCAGTTCCTGGAGGCACTTCCAATGTGTGTTCAGGGCTGTATTATCACCTCCATGGTGACCTGGGCAATGGAAAGCAGGGAAAGAGTCCTCATTCTTCTAATCCAGCTCTTTCCTCAGCCCATCTCCATTCATAAAAGGGGTCAGTATTGTTTCTACTACAAAGATGAGGACACAAGGCCTCCTGTAGGTGAAGGGACTCCCCTATGTCATGCAGCAGGCTGGAGAGGGACCACAGCAAAATTGAGGCAGCAATTTCACTGCTCTAATTCCCAGCATGTGCTGCCCCTATGACTAGGAGTGTGGAGGAATGGTCAGAAACCATGTGCTGACATGAACAGCAGCGACCAAGAGAAGAAAGCAAATGAGGGGGAAACTGATGGTGGCAGGAAGAGGCTGATGCCCTGGGTGTCCGGGGAAGCACAGCACGGAGTTGTGCCCTGTGGTCCCGAGGAGTCGGGAGAAGTTTGCAAGGGGCTGCCTGTGTGGGAGAAGCCCTAACCCCAGGGTGAAGATGAGAAATGCTCTAAAGCTGCTGGGGTCGGCTGCGGGGATGCGAGACAGGCCAGCAGATGTCCGGGCACCGCCGGCCGAGGGGCTGGCGGGGCCGAGCGCGGTGCGGGGTCCCCCGCGGGCGGTGCCCCCCGGCCCGGGGGAGCGGGAGCGGACCCGCAGCACCACCCGGGGATGCCCCGTCCCCCCGCGGAAGGCAGCGCCGCCTCCGCCCCGCCGCAGCGGTGCCGCAGGCGCGGGGCCCCGGCGGGGAGGGGTTTCGCGGCCCCAGCCGGGGGCGGACGGGCGGCGGGGCCGTGTGTCCTGCCCTGCCGGGGAGGGCCCTGCGCAGCGCCGCCGCCGCTGCTCCCGCTCCGCGCACAATGGCGACTCCCAGCCCCAGCGGCGGCTCCGGGGGGAGCGGGAGCGGGCCCGGCCCGGGCGCCGCCGGCAGCAGCAGCAGCAGCAGCATGCAGGGTAAGCACCGCCGGCCCGGGCAGCGCCGGGCCGTGCCGGGCCGGAGCCGCCGCAGGTCTCGCCCTGCCCGGGCCGCGGGGACCCCCGGGCGCTGCCGTTCGCGCCCCCCGCGCTGGGCCGCGGCTGTGCAGCGGCGCTGCCCGCGGGAATCCCCGGCCCCGGCTCGGCTCGGCCCGGCCCCGGCGGCCCCGCTCCGGGCCTGCCCCGCTGGCGGCCTGGCCGCGCCCGGCGCGCTCGGCGGGAGGAAGCGCGGCCCTGGCCCTGCTCGCCGGGGCTGCCGGGGCGCAGGGCCTGCCCGGAGCTCGGCCCCGGCCGCCGGGACAAAGGCCGGGCTGGACGCGGCTCCGGCCTCTCCCGGCGGGGAACGTTGTGCGGCCGCTCGGGGTGAGCGGTGCAGGCCGCGGCTGCAGCAGCAGCAGCAGCATCCCCGGGGGCGCTGGCCGGAGCCAAGTGCGCTGGGGGCGGCCCGTGCCCGCAGGAGCCCCGCGGGGCGGCCGGGCCGGGGCTGCGGCACCGCGGCACTGCCCCGGCCAGCCCGGCCCTCCGCCTCCGCTCTGGGCTTCTCTCGAGACGAACGTCTAAGTGAAATCAGTTCAGCGCGAACTTGCCGTTCAGTTTCATTCAGTTTCGTTCCGTTCCGATGGAAATTTACAGTGCTGCAGCGGGTCGTGTTGGTTTCCACCGGCACTTGTTGATGGTTGAGCAGCCTTGCAAAAACGGTGGATATTTGTTTTTCAGAAAGGCCTCAGCAAACCCTTTGAGTTTCTCCTTTAAAGTTAAGGCACTGAAATGTTCTCTGTGCTCTCTGAAAAAGATTTTAGGCCTTATTAGGCTGAGGTGGCACAGTACTAGTTTGTTTGTTTGTTTGTTTAAATTAAATACAGTGATGGTAATATTAAAGAAGCAGTTTACCCTGTTTTGGGACCAGGAAACGGAAAGGTTGCTCTCTCTGTGACAGAAGTGCTGATACTGTTGTGAAATAATGTTTGTCACTGTTGTTTGCCATATTCTGTGTTGGCCCTGGTATGGACTGTGCTGAGACTGGTAGGGACTTGTTTGGGCAGAGAACTGATGGTTCAACTGAAGAGCTTGGTATATTTGGAGTAAAAAGGTGAATTTTGGCTCTTTGTAGCTTCCCCTGCATGAAGGATTGGGTACGTTTTGGGCCTTGTCAAGGTAGTATTATGCATCTTTCAAGAACCTGAATCCCAGGCTTTGTGCATTAAATGCATGGATTAAAAACTTTACCATGATATGCTAAAACAGTTGTGATTTAATAAGAACAAGCCCTTATTCTTGTAGTACAGTTAAACCCCTCAGTGTTGCCCATTGTATTTCCACCTGACCCATTTCTCATATTTGAGTTGTTCCTCTGAACCACCTGTATGTTCCAAGGCTGAGAGTTGGTTTTGCACCCTGGCACCTGTGATGCCCTGTGAGCTTGCGGTGATGCAGCATCTGTATGCTGTGTCCAGTGGAAGAAGGGCACTTGGTTCTGTTGCAGCTGGTTAGGGTGGCTGTTTAAGTATGGATTCAGGACCATGGGCTAGTGTGATGATGCCCAAGTGCTGGTGGCTTTCCCTAACAGGTGAGTGTTCAGGTGTCCCAGCAGGAGCTGTATGTGGGATCCTGGCTGGGCTCTGGAGCAGCAGTTTGCTGTGACTGGGGTGGTTCTTGCAAGAAGCTGTCCCAGGAGGAGCTGTGTGTGGGATCCTGGCTGGGCTCTGGAGCAGCAGGTTGCTGCTGTGACTGGGATGGTTCCTGGAACATGCAAGAAACTGAGAAGCTGTGCTGCCACAGCACCTGGGTGGGATGGGAAGGGGCTGGATGTGGCTGCAGGTGGTGTGCAGGCTGCTGGGGCGGCTCTGGCTGCTCTCCAAGAAGCACAGTGCCCTTGCCCACAACACGAGTTCCTGCTGATGCCAAGGCAAGCTGAGCTGGACAAAGAAAACCCCACAAAAGTGTCGAGAGTTCTGCAGTTGGGAAGCCCAGCTTGTGCTTGTGGTGGGGCTGGGCAGGCACTGGAGCAAGGGAGGTGCAGGAATGCATTGCTGGGTGGGGAGAAGGCTGGGTAGGACTGTGTCAGTGTTGATTTAATTGGCTTAAACAGCATGACAAGGTGGAGCAGGGAAGTCATTAAGCTGGAAACAAGTAATTATATTAAAAAAAAATTTTGCTCAGTTAATTTTCAGTTACAAACACTCTGACCTGGCTTGTGCAACTGCTTTTGTGAAGGAGGTGCGAGTTGGAGAGGGTGGAAACTCCTGTGCCAAAGGGCTGTGACAGTGCTCCCCTGGACAGTGCTCTGTTTCTTTTGGAGACCTTGCCCAGAGGCCATGTGCTTGGGCAAGCTCACCTGAGGTGAGAGTCCCTTGCAGGAGGTTTCTGTGTTGGTGTCAAGGCTGGCAGTTTTATAAGGAGTGTCCGCTGTCAGGCCTGGGAGTAGGGAAGAGTTGGGAGGATGATGGTGCAGGGGAGGAGTCTTCAGAGAAATCAAGGCCCATCACATTGATGTCCAGGGCAAGGGCAGCAGATCCAGAAGGTCTCTGCAGGCCACCCAGTTTTGGTTTTAATTCTGTATCCTACAGGATTTTTGATTCACACAGGCTGAAGGCTTCCAGGTGACAATGCAGAAGTGAAGGGACACTGCCCTTGTGCTGGGCTCACTGTGCAGCCATGGCTTTCAAGGCTGGTGACCAAGCAAGGGGTTGCTTCAGGCCTTGTTATTATTCACCCTTATTCTGCATGTCCCAGCTTCACTCTCATGTCTTCTCTTGGCTACCTGGATCAGCTGCCCATGCCAAAGGACCTGGACCTTTTTTCTTTCCAAAGAATCCCCTGGCCAGTGCAATGGTGTTGTGTTCATGGTGACAAAGGAGAGCTGAAATTCTGAGTATTAAAATAGATTCTATTCCATAATTTTTTAAATGTCTGTTGCGTGCACACTAAATGAAGTTTGTCCAATGCTGGTGATGGATGGTGAAGTTGTTCTTACTCATGTGTAATGTTAGAGTTCAGGAACAGTCCTGAGTATTTAGTGTCCTGGATGTTTTGTGGAGGAAACAGATTCTGTGGGAAGTAGCATGCCTTTGACAGTGATTTAAGGAAAAACCAGTATCCAAATTGTAATTGGAGCAATTTTGTGTTTCTCTCATTGCCAAAATTAGTAATAGTCATTACTGCTAACATTACTCAGAAAATGATAATTTGAAGAAAGGTGGTATGAAATCTAGAAATGTAGTTTATTCCAAGGCATAGGGAGAATTTTGATTCTAATTAAAACCTGTGGAGTCACTCATCCTAACTACAGTGCCAAAGAGGAACTGGAACCACTTATAACTGATGGTTATGGAATCAGCTCAGCTGCATTGGGCACTCAGGAGGACTGGAGGCAACATGGACTTCTCCAAATACTCACTCTCACTGCCTGGTGTGCTCTGGTGTCGTTAAAAAGCAAAGCAGAGCTACTGTGTGTGTCTTCTCAGAGTGTACATCGTGGCTGAAATGTGTTGGGTGGGAATTCCTGACCAGAATTTGGGATTCTCAGTTCCCTTCATGTGTGTGGTCCCATTTGCTCCCTCACTGATGTCTTTGTCCTCTTCATCTAACTCCAGCTATTTTAGCATAAAAATCAGAGGAGGTGTGTCTCTGGTGAGAGTGTCCTTTGTGGGTATGAGGCAGGGAGCCTGGATAGGGAGGTTGTTAGGAGGCGTCTGAGTGCATGAGGAGATGAACTAGAGTCCCTCTCTTACCCTTGGGTGCCATTCATAACATCAGTGGTTTACTGAAGGTGGGTGATCAGTTCCTATTTACAAGGAAACTCTGTCCTGTACCTTTTTTTCTGGCAGAAAAATGCTGCTGGGAGGCTTGTTCAGGAATTGTTCATGTTTGTGATGGACTCTGCCAGCCACTGTGGTCAGGTGAATTTGGTGTGGGTGTGTGATGTGCACTGTGTCAGTGGGGTAGTGAATATTGCTTGAAACCATTTGTGGGCTCGCTGAAACTGGACTGATCCTCATTGTGGGAATTCAGTAAGAGATTCCATGGTTCCCATGTCCTCCTCTGCTGCTTGCTGCCTTGGTGAGTGCATGGGGTGACTGGAGCTGCTCCCCTCCCCACTCTTGCCCTCAGTGGAATTATCAAACCATGTGTGTTAGCAGGCAGCACTGATGCAGGCTGACTCTGGCAGACTGATGAGTGTATGTCTACTTGGACATATTTGCATTTGTTAAGAGCAATAAAAGTTGTGAGGTGAGCAAATCAATGTATTTTAGTTCATTTCTGCCCCCAGTTTATTCCTGTATGGGCCTTATATCTGCTTTATGTTTGAGTCTTGGTGTAAGCTTGTGTGTGTAGGGTTGTGTTGGTATGTGGCCATAGGGTTTTGCATTTTGCCTTTCAATTTTGTTTTACTTTTAATCAACTGATGGTTTTGATATCTCTGTTTTCTTGGTAAAGGGGCAGCCCAAAAGTACTAGTTAGTCTCCTCAGATGCTGGGAGGTTTTTTCAGTTATTTTATGCTGATTTTGAGGGAGCCAGGAGGTGTGGAAGTCACTGTTGCCCATCAAAATGAGAGTTATCCTGCAAGAGAAAAATGAGTTTTGTGAGGAAGCAGAAGAAGCCAGAATGTGTGCTTTCCAAACTTCATGTTGTTGAGGAGTCCCTTAAATGAAATTTGTGTGTACGTAGTGAAGCACTGATTACAGAAATCTTGTGTAACCATATCAAGCTCTGTGTGTATCAAACACACATAAACAGCTTTTTAGCATTATGCAGCTTTGAAGTTGGATGTCTTCTGTTGGATTTAGGCTTGATAAGATTTTGTGTGAAAGAAAATGTGGAGGTCTGCTTCTTGGTGGAGGAAGCAGGCTACCTGTTGTAGCCTTTAGAGACTGGAAGGGAAAACTGTGTGAGGGGAAGAAGCTGTGCAGGGTGTTTGTGTAGTGCTCTGCCCTTTGGGTGGGAACTGGCAGCAAATATCCATCTCCAGGCTCCACTG